AAAACTGATATTGACACCGAAACAAATAACAAAATGATATAAAAAACTCTGATAGATGTGTGCATACAGGAAATTGGAAATAACGGGTAATATAAGAGTAAGTTACGTAACCTCACTTTATAGACAAAACTTTGTATCAAATTTTGTAAATGTAAGTTAACATTACTGTAATTTTAGCCCTCAAATCCTATGTATTTTAACTGAACTTGCTAAAAAGAAAAACACCACGGCCGTGAACGTTTGGGTTTCAATTGTGAAAGAAAAAATGAAGATTTTAACTCTTCTAGCTGATGACAGTGCCATTTCAGGATGCGTATTAAGTCTCATTAATCCCTAAAGTTTTTGACATATTTTAAAACACCCGTAGAAATATAGTCACTATAAGTTTGAAATAGGTACAAAACCCCCTGACCTAATACTCGCAAAATTCTTCACCACTGCAATATAATTTCAATCACTAAATTTCGTTCCACTGAAAAATTCAAAATCCAGCTGACCAACCAAAACGAAACTAAAAACAAGAAAAAGAAGCCATCGCCTTCTCCTTCTTCTTCTTCCTCTTCGTCTTCAATTCACGCAAATTCAAGAACAAATGAGTACTCTCCGTCTTTCTTCCTCATCGTATTCGTCACTATTCCACTTTTGCCTTACACAAACAAGGACTTTGTCACACAGGGATAGATTTCTCACCAGAACGTCAACTGTGTCTAAACCAAATCTGCCACCCTTCTACAAAACTCTGCATGAAAGGACAGTATCTTTTTCTCCTATTCTCCTTATCTCTATAAAAACTTACCACTTTTGCATTTACAGTAGTGCTAAACACCAATTCTAATCAAAATTAAACTGCTAAGCAATGAGAAATCGGTAATTTTTGGACTGTTGGTAGTTTGCTTTTTTAGTAATGGGCGCAATGACAATGGGGTTATATAAGAACTCTGTGCCGCCAGATCGAAAAACTCCGACCGGTTCAGTCTTTCGCAGGTATGCTTTCTACCCCGCCTCCGACATAATCTTCGTCCTCATAGGCATAGTATCTTCATCGTCATCGTACTCATCTGACCAACATCGTATATAGTCTTCGTCTTACCTTTTCGGCGAGGATGGCTGATAATCTATGTTATTAACAATTTTCCAATGTTTAAATTGCCTGTAAAAATAGGGATTGCGTCAATTTTTAATGGTGTAAACTAAAGGGAAGAGGAATTACGAGGGGGGATGTAGAATAGATTTGAGAGATCGGTGAATAAAAGTTAACCTGTTTGTGGCTGAACAACTGTTAGGGACCGGGCATCCGCTACAATAATCCCGGTCCACCGGGATCAAACGGTTTGAATTAATTCATTTCATGAGATATCGCCGACCGGACCTCAGCAGCCGGTTCCCGCGCACCCGGGTTCGCACACGCAACTGAGTATACCCGTGTTATTATATCGACATGGATTGTACATTTAACTGTAGATTCTCTGGAAAAAGGAAAAAATATCTTACATCTCTCCATCGCAACAGCCAACAAAAGAGCGAAAAGTGACCTTGTCATCCTGGTACCAGGCGCATGCCCCTAGTTCCACCAACTGAGTTTTGCAAATCGCTGGTTGGATCGGAGTAGTTCTTGAGATGAACTTTTCTTCTCATGGGAATCCTTTTGGCACCTCTCTTCAGCTGCACACACCAAATCATCTTGCAGAATCTAATACTCAATAAGGTGCATAATCTTCTCCTCCTGTTGCACTTCTCATCTGTCCCACAGTGTCATAAATTTCGAAAAGTTTTTATGGATAGGTATATAATTGTCATAGAGCTTGTTGTGTTAAAGTAGCTATTGTACGATCATGTGCTTTCCAGTTCTACTCAGCTCCGACTTGTGGATTGTGTAGTTGCTTTCTTTTGGTCTTCAATGATAGATGTGGGAATGAACTCGGTGTTCTTATTATATTTGTTCGTCCCCTTCTAGGTGCAGCTTCTATGGTCTATCGCCTGCTACTACTTCCACCAACACGACATGATCGAGTTGGAAGAGAAATTGAAGAGATTGATGGTATTTGGTGATTCCACCGTTCTTCATTCCAGTTCCAAGCAGTGGTCTGTAGAATTTTTGTGTTTGACACGCATGTGGTACACTACATTTATAACATGGAAAGAAGATCAAGGAGACCAAAAGGATTATGTCCAACACATTGGAGTAGGCTGGAATCTCATGCGTTAAGTCTTTGATGAATGTTTTGACTCATGTGCCACCGGTTTACACAGTTGGGAACGGTGATTGATCCAAGGTGAAAGCATAAGTTGAGTTTCGGATGAGGACTCAAAAAGCCTGATGAGATCACGAAATGCTTGACGATCAACTGATTAATCAGTTGTTTGTCTTGTAGCTTGGAAGCCAAGGGAGCTTTGGGAAAAGCAGAGTGAAAGAAATTGCATTCGATTGGCAAAAGTGGGGTGAGGTTTTTGTGTCAATACGGAGCCACCCCAGGGATAAACTGTGAAAGCCCAAGGATTACAAAGTGATCAATCCTCGGAGGTTTTGCCAAATGCGTTTTGGAAAGAGAATACAAAGAATGATTGGTTGGTTTGTGGGATTGGCCCACAAAAGGCGGTGTTGGCTCATAATCAGTAGGGGATTGTGGTCAACCACTGTGGGTGGAATTCAAATCTTCGGACAAGCTTGTGGTTTGGTTGTTTCCAATCTGTGAAATGGGCCTATGTATGCTTTCGAGCAACAGATTCATGCATTCTCAAAATGGTTCGAGATTTGGATTGGGTGTGGAGTTGAGATGAGATTACGAGACGAATGGAAGTTGTGTTGCAGATGAATAGCAAAGAGCTATCAAATGTGTGATGAGAGTGTTAATGAGGTGAGGAAGAAGGTTAAAGGAGAAGAGTAGATAAGAGCAGATTAGCATAGTGGAGGGTGGATCTCATTGCTGCATTGGGACTGATTGATGTGTATATAAGAAATTAGCCAGAAAGAGCTGTGATAATCATATGTTACCTCCCTGAGATGAGGATTTGTGGTCATTGCGTAGAGTTTTTATGTGCAATTTCATCCATAATACTTTTGGTTTACATTGATATTTTACCCATTTTAAAGATTTCCAAGGTTTAGTTCAGTTGATTCAACTCGACATACTATATGTATTATCATTAAGCAAAAAGGAGTGGGAGATAATCTTTGAGTCTTTTCCCCTCTGACAGCTCACTATCCACACATCAAGTTGAAGTATAGATATACATGTCATTTAAATGGTTTGACTCTATTAATTATGTGCTTGTGCCTTGAGTTGGATGAATATCAGAGAAGAGACGAGCGGTGGCACAATTCATCACAGTTGTTGTGTTCATAACGTGTTTTTAGCCTGATGCAATACACTGTCTCTATCATAATAAAAATGGAAGTTTGCAGGGTTATGTCGGTTTTGGGCAGTTGGAACATCGTGTCTATCATCGAGAGTTGTTCCTAGATATGGTGGAAGGTTCTGTATGGGAAAAAACGGCCCCTCGCACCCCGTGGGAACACATACTGCTGCTATGTAACTGAATAGTTGTTCTTCGTAATGACCTTGTTTTAGTAAGGAAATTCCTTAAATGTATATGAGTTTATATGAGTTTGATTTGCGACCTTTCGGAAACAAACTCTTACGTCTTGAAATCATAAGTGGATAAGGCATAGCAATCACTAGTAATGCAGAACAAATTGAATGGAAACTATCCAATGTCTGTCGGTTTATGTATTCTTCCATTTATGGGTTATAGTTGTCTTTATGAGAAGATGATTCATATTGCTCTCTCAGATGGTTACGGAAAGAATAAAGCAAGAAGTGGGGGGGGTCAATATCTCAGGCGTCATAGGTGTGAAAAAAAAAAAAAAAAAAAAAAAAAGAAATAATTTTTTTAATATATGCTTATATTATTAAAGGGCCCCAAAGTAAATCTTGCCTAGGGTCACAAATGTTTTAGAGACGGCCCTGTTGACCACCTAAGGGTTGGTGTTTCTATAACTTAATGGCAGTATAAATTCTTCTGTCAAAATCATATAACAGAGAGTAAAAGAGAAAATCTATAGATGTTTCTATTGATTGATTAATTGATGGTTGTGACTCCAAGACAAGATCCCTTAGGTATAACGAATCCTAGTGACTAAAAGGTTTATCATCCGACCACAAAGGGAGATGTTACAAAAGTTATTTGGTAGCTATCACTAATGGGTTATAGATAGTAAGTGCACTCATGGATGCTTAACCCAATAATTCTATTACTATAATGAAAATTTAGTTCAATGAATAAGTCGTTGATTATGAGATGTAAAAAAATTAATTAAAAAATTTTGACTTTATGACTCATAAGCAATTGAAAGATAAGTCACTCCGTTATAACGAATTTAGGGCATGTTTGATATGCAATATAGGATAGTATTAAACAAATCACATAACATATCATAACATTGCATTGTATTATATAAGGTTATGCTAAATGTTGTATGATGTTTAGTAGAATATTGCGTTGCATTATTTTTATACTATACTATATTTGGTATATGAATTACAATGTATAATATTGTTTTTGTTTTCTAACATAAATTCATTTATTAAAAACTAATATGTTTTTAATTATTATGTAACTAATAATTAAAAAAAAGAAGTCAAAAGATGAAAGTATTAGTAGTCAATGTTGATTAACGGAAATCAAAATACTGTTCAATGTAGATCAATGTCGTGTTCACGGTTTTACTTTTCATTATTTTATGTAGAGTATATTGCATTATTTTAGACTTGACATTGTTTAATGCTACGCAGTTTTGTCACCCAACACAACATTACATTATTTAGTGATACGCATGGTCTCTAATGTTATGCTATGTTGCTTGCCAAACATACCCTTATTTCACTATCTAGTGAAATCCACTTTTATTTAGTAAGCTTGTTTCACTATTCGATTTTAAAAGCAAATTCTCTATTACAAACCTGAATTCGTCTTAACGAATCAAGAGTTTAGGCAGGTTTTATGTTTTACAAATACAACCCCTTCTTCAACTTCAATGCTTCTTCGCCAACGCCTCACAACTCTCACTCGCCAATGTCGCCATCTCTCCACTTCCTCTTCATCCACCAAAATCCCACTTCTCTACACGCACACAAATGAAAATCAAAACGACGCTGTCACTCTCCAACTCCTCTCGTGGGGGAGAGGCGCGTCAGGCCAGTTGGGCGGTGGCATTGAAGAAGTGAGACTCTACCCAGCCCCAGTTGCAAACCTCAGTCTTTCTCTACCCTTTACCATCTCCCAAACTTCCGGTCGACTTGTTCAGAAAGATTCTGAAGTGGGTTCGGGTTCTAGTTTGAATATTTCATGTGGGTTGTTTCATAGTGGGTTGGTTGTGGATGGAAAGCTGTGGGTTTGGGGGAAAGGAGATGGTGGGAGACTTGGTTTTGGGCATGAAAATTCTGTGTTTGTGCCTAGTTTGAACCCTTATTTGGGTGATGATCCTGTTCAGTGTGTTGCTCTTGGTGGAGTTCACTCTGTTGCTTTGACTTCACTTGGGAAGATTTTCACTTGGTCAGTGAGCATTTAACAACTCTACATTCATTATTTGTTCATTGATTGAGTGTTTGTTTGGTGTGAAGGTTTCAACATCGGTTGCTTAGGCATAAATTAGCAAGCTTATTGAGTTATTAGAAGTGTATGTATGGTTGAGTAATCACAGGTTAAAAAGTGCTTTTTTCAGAAGTAAATTAGCAAAAAGGCATACAAAAACAATCACTTTTATTTATGATTTGCAACAAGATGTTGTTTTGTTTGGAGTCCATACAAATTATTGATCTTAAATTTGGAGTGATGAATCTTGCAGGGGTAATTGTAATACTCTAACCAAAAAAATTTTGGGTATGGTAATTTAATATTTTTAAAAGAGCTTATTGGGGAAGTTAGTTGACATGACATAGCACTCTCCTTGAATTGCAACCAAAGGACTAATAAAAGAGAAAGCAAAAGAGCTTTTATCAATATATGGAATCGCATTTGATCAACAGAGCATTTTTCCTTTCTTATTTAGTAAAATGGAGATGTTGAAGCAACTAAGTGTTGTTATTCAAGATTTAGAATATAACTATGTCAGTTTAACTGGTTGGCCTGATAATTAATGATGTGCTTGTGCTTGATTGGATAAATATCAGGAGAAGAGAGTTGTGTGCACATATTCATCACATTGTTGTGTTCACTAACGTGTTTTTAGCCTGATAATACAATGGCTCTATCATTAAAAGTTTGCAGGGGTTATGGTGGTTTTGGTGCACTTGGACATTCTGTCTATCATAGAGAGTTGTTTCCTAGATTGGTGGAAGGTTCTTGGAATGGGAAAATACGGCACATCGCAACCAGTGGAACACATACTGCTGCAATAACTGAATCAGGTTGTTCTTCTTAACTGACCCTGTTTTTTGTATAGAAATTTCTTTACATGTATATACTATTGGGTTTGCATTTTAGATATAGGCTGCTTAACCTGGACTAAATTTATATGAGTTTTGATTTGGACCTTCGGAAACAGCCCTCTTGAACTCATAATGTGGAAAACATATCAATCTAGTACTGCAGAACAAATTGAATGGAACATATTTCAAATGTCTGTAGGTTTATGTATTCTTGCATTTATGGGTTTCTAGTTGTTCTTTATGAGAAGATGATTCATATTGCCTTCATATTTGTTACGGAAAGAATAAAGAAAGAGGGCTGTCAAATATCTTAATCCATCTATTATTGAATATAGGGGAACTTTACACTTGGGGTCGAGATGAAGGAGATGGAAGACTGGGCCTTGGTCCTGGTCCAGGCCCTAATGAGGGAGGTGGACTTAGTATCCCTTCTAAGGTCAAAGCATTACCTGTATCTGTGGCTGCTGTTTCTTGTGGTGGCTTTTTTACAACAGTGCTGACAGAGGAAGGGCAACTTTGGAATTGGGGAGGTAAAGATATCAACTCTTTTGTCTTATTTTCTCTCCTTATCTCTACCCAATTGCAGTTTAGTTACTTTCATTTATTTGTTTGGAATAGTTGCACAATTCTGGATATCACTCTCTTAAGTTTTCAACTTGGATGAAATTCCATTTATCTCTGCTTGTGTAACATTACAATGACATCATATTACACATTGTCATGTGTTCTGCTCAGCAAGTTCTAACTATGAGCTTGGAAGAGGTGATAAGGTTGGTGGTTGGAGACCCAAGCCAATTCCTAGCCTTGAAGGTGTTCGTATCATTCAGATAGCAAGTGGTGGCTATCACTCCCTTGCATTAACTGGTAAAATAATTGCTTAAATTCACGATTGCCACGGCAACCTTATTAAATCCATTCCTCACTTGCCACCCCCTCCTTCCTATTCTAGGCTGTATACTAATATTGGTTTTCATTTTTTATGTATAATTTCAGATGAAGGCAAAGTTCTTTCTTGGGGATATGGTGGACATGGTCAGTTGGGTCATTCTTCAACCGAAAATCTGAAAGTACCTGTGGTGATCGAGGCTTTAGCTGATAAGCGTGTAGTCTACATCGCTTGTGGGGGCTCATCCTCAGCAGCCATAACAGGTCCTTGATATTTCCATCACCCTTCAATCCTACAATCTTCCAAAGTATCTATAGTTATCCGATCTCATAATAGCACAGAAATGAGGTTTGAGGATATCTTTTAGTATTCTATCTTTTAGTATTCAACTAAGTTGAAAGATACTTAAATTTAATAAAATCAAATATTTGGATATCATTATAGAACAATAATTTTATATGCAAATCAAATAAATAAAACTCATGATTATATATTTGTTTTTACCATATTGTTTGATAATTTGCTATATATTCAGATAAAGGGAAGTTGTACATGTGGGGAAATGCCAAAGATTCTCAATTGGGAGTTCCTGGGTTGCCAGAGGTACAACTTTGTCCTGTTGAAGTCAAGTTTCTAACGGAGGATGATGGATTGGGACCCCACAAGGTGTTATCTGTTGCAGTTGGTGCATCTCATGCTATGTGTTTGGTTTCAAGGTCATGTTGTTAAAGATGGTCTACTAATCGAAAGGTTTTCTCAACTCATATAGACACGACAAGCAAGTATGTATCGTTTAACAGCTCAAACAGAGGCTAGAACAGATGTGTAGAATCTGAGGATAGGATAAGTTCTTTAAGTTACTAAAATATTGCCAAAGCATTTAGGAGGTGAATTCAGGTTGCTGACTGGTTAGTCAATAAGTGGAGCTTCACCTTGACAATTGCTGACTCATAACTGCTTTTGTTTGAATCCCTTTAATGAATTAAATTATCTGGGAGGACTAGAGAATTTTGGCATTATAAGCTCCTGTCACAAATGCAAGTTACCTTCTTAATTGTTCCCTCTCATTGTATGCATCATCTCATTACATATTAGTTTATTGACATTCCTTTTTGTTGAAAGTTTATTGCAAACATGACTACTTTTTCCTTTTAATGTTGATCATATTGCTCAGTTGCTTTTATTTGAAGTCGGCATGAGAAAGATTTGCGAGGAATTTTAATAAGAAAGCATGCAAATAAATTATGTTTGCTCAGGTGCATTTGATGCCCTGCTACGAATATCCATTGGTTTTGTTGTATGATCTTTGATGCTCTGGAACTGTGGACAATATTATAAAGTGATAAATTTAAAGTTGGGTATATTTTCGAGCAAAACAATATCACAAGATATCATGTCAGTCATGTCACAAGTCCATGTATATATGTTGTCTGAGAATTTTTTTTCTTTACCATCCATTTTTATAATCAATGCGATCGGTGATTAAATTGATAATCTATGTAGTATGCATATATTGATTTGTGATATCATTAATGCGGTATCCCGTGGTAACATAAACTTTTTCGTTCTTGAAGAAGTTAAAGGGTAGAATTTGCCTCAATGTTGGCAGATCTCATAGAAGTTCCTTATGTAGACCCTCCTTTATTGCAAAAATCTAAAGTTTCCAGAGAAAAACTTGCGACTGATCATAGAGGGAGTTACAAACCTTATGTTAAAGAAGCTATTATTAAGAATGTTCTTTTAAACACTAACTCAGCTCCACTTGTTGGGTTGGTGTTTGATATGTTTTGTTCATCAATTGTAGATGTGGGAAATGAACTCGGTGTTCCTTCTTATTTGTTCTTCACTTGTAATGCAGATTTTCTTGGTCTCATGTTGTACCTTCCAGGTCGAGATGATGAAGTTGGAAGAGAGTTTGAAGAGTTTGATTCTGATTATATAATTCCTGGTTATGTTAATCCAATTCCTAGCAGAAATTTTCCTTTGTTTTTGTTTAACAAGTATGGTGGTTATGATACATTTGTGAAGCATGGAAGAAGATTCAAGGAGACCAAAGGGATTTTTGTCAACACATTTGAGGAGTTGGAGGCTCATGTTGTTAAGTGTTTGTTGAATGATTTTGATCATATGCCACCTATTTACACAGTTGGACCGATGATTGATCTCAAGAGTGAGAGTGACAAGTTAGTTCTAGATGTGATAGAAAGAGATAAGATCCTGAAATGGCTTGATAATCAACCTGATTCATCAGTTGTTTTCTTGTGCTTTGGAAGCCAGGGGAGCTTTGGAGAAGAGCAAGCGAAACAATTGCAGTCGGATTGGAGCAAAGTGGGGTGAGGTTCTTGTGGTCAATACTGGGACTTCACTTGGGAAGATTTCCACTTGGTCAGTGAGCATTTAACAACTCTACATCATATGTTCATGATTGAGTGTTGTGGTGTGAAGGTTTCAACATCGGTTGCTTAGGCATAAATTAGCAGCTTATTGAATTATTAGAAGTGGATGTAGGTTGGAATACAGGTTAAAAAGTGCTTTTTCAGAAGTAAATTAGCAAAAAGGCATACAAAAACAATCACTTTTTTTATGATTTGCAACAAGATGTTGTTTTGTTTGGAGTCCATACCAATTATTGATCTTAAATTGGAGTGATGAATCTTGCAGGGGTAATTGTAATACTCTAACAAAAAAAAATTGGGTATGGTAATTTAATATTGTTAAAAGAGCTTATGGGGAAGTTAGTTGACATGACATAGCACTCTCCTTGAATTGCAACCAAAGGACTAATAAACAGAAAGCAAAAGAGCTTTTATCAATATATGGAATCGCATTTGATCAACAGAGCATTTCCTTTCTTATTTAGTAAAATGGAGATGTTGAAGCAAACTAAGTGTTGTTATTCAAGATTTAGAATATAACTATGTCAGTTTAACTGGTTGGCCTGATAATTAATGATGTGCTTGTGCTGATTGTAAATATCAGGAGAAGAGAGTTGTGTGCAATATTCATCACATTGTTGGTTCACTAACGTGTTTTTAGCCTGATAATACAAGGCTCTATCATTAAAAGTTTGCAGGGGTTATGGTGGTTTTGGTGCACTTGGATTCTGTCTATCATAGAGAGTTGTTCCTAGATTGGTGGAAGGTCTTGGAATGGGAAAATACGGCACCTCGCAACCAGTGGAACATACTGCTGCAATAACTGAATCAGGTTGTTCTTCTTAACTGACCCTGGTTTGTATAGAAATTTCTTTACATGTATTACTATTCGGTTTGCATTTTAGATATAGGCTGCTAACCTGGACTAAATTTATATGAGTTTTGATTTGGACCTTCGGAAAAACCCTTTGAACTCATAATGGGGAAAACACAATCTAGTACTGCAGACACAATTGAATGGAGCATATTTCAAATGTCTGTAGGTTATGTATTCTGCATTGGGTTTCTAGTTGTTCTTTATGAGAAGATGATTCAATTGCCTTCATATTTGTTATGGAAAGAATAAAGAAAGAGGGCTGTCAAATCTTAATCCATCTATTATTGATATAGGGGAACTTACACTTGGGGTCGAGATGAGGAGATGGAAGACTGGGCCTTGGTCCTGGTCCAGGCTAATGAGGGAGGGGGACTTAGTATCCCTTCTAAGGTCAAGCATTACCTGTATCTGTGGCTGGGTTTCTTGTGGTGTTTTTACAACAGTGCTGACAGAGGAAGGGCAACTTTGGATGGGGAGGTAAAGATAACAATCTCTTTGTCTTATTTTCTCTCCTTATCTCTACCAATTGCAGTTTAGTTACTTTCATTTATTTGTTCGGAATAGTTGCACAATTTGGAATCACTCTCTTAAGTTTTCAACTTTGATGAAATTCCATTTATCTCTGCTTGTGTACAATACAATGACATCATATTACACATTGTCATGTGTTCTGTTCAGCAAGTTCTAACATGAGTTGGAGATTAAGCTAAGTCCAATCGCTGCAACTGTGAAACTGCAGTTAAGACCGATAAAAAAAGTCACGTCATCAAAATCAATTTCATCTGATAACATACCCGCCGATCATAGTGTTCCAAACCTCAGTGTTTCTCTCCAAACAACAGAAAAAATCTTCCTTGTGAAATCAAGACAACCAAGCTCAGCATACATGAAAATAGCCGAACTCACAATAAACAAATCATTTACATATTCCTTGTGAAATCATGCTTAATTGCTTAAAATTAACGTTTGAGTAAATTACATTAACTTATGTCACAATTTTACTTCTCATTATTTTATGTAGAGTATACTGCATTATTTTAGATTTGACATTGTTTAATGCTACACAATTTTGTCACCAAACACAACATTGCATTATTTAGTGATATGCAATGTTTCTAATGTCATGCTATGTTGTTTGCCAAACATACCCTTACTTCACTATATAGTGAAACCCACTTTCACTTAGTAAACTTGTTTCACTATTCGATTAGATTATAAAAGCAAATTCTTTATAACAAAGCTGAATTCTTAATATGACATAAATTCTTTTTGCCTATTTTTTGTGTGGTTTTTTTTTTACATAGGAAATTGTACTTATCAAGGAGAAATCTATAATAATGATTACCTTTTTTTTATATTGTTGCTATTTGATTAAATTGTACTGAAATGATGTTTATGCCCCTAGACCGTCTAACACCCTCGCTAACCTCCATTATCTGATAGGGGTAACAGTACCACGTTCCAAAAATACTGGATGAAAATGGTATTTCTTCAAAAATTATGGATGAACATAATATTGTCCCGAGAAACTAGTAATATCTTCTTTGTGTTTAGGCAGGTTTTATGTTTTACAAATATAACCCCTTCTTCAACTTCAATGCTTCTTCGCCAACGCCTCACAACTCTCACTCGCCAATGTCGCCATCTCTCCACCTCCTCTTCATCCACCAAAATCCCACTTCTCTACACGCACACAAATGACAACCAAAACGACGCTGTCACTCTCCAACTACTCTCGTGGGGAAGAGGCGCCTCAGGCCAGTTGGGCGGTGGCATTGAAGAAGTGAGACTCTACCCAGCCCCAGTTGCAAACCTCGGTCTTTCTCTGCCCTTTACCATCTCCCAAACTGCCGGTCGACTTGTTCAGAAAGATTCTGAAGTGGGTTCGGGTTCTAGTTTGAATATTTCATGTGGGTTGTTTCATAGTGGGTTGGTTGTGGATGGAAAGCTGTGGGTTTGGGGGAAAGGAGATGGTGGGAGACTTGGTTTTGGGCATGAAAATTCTGTGTTTGTGCCTAGTTTGAACCCTTATTTGGGTGATGATCCTGTTCAGTGTGTTGCTCTTGGTGGAGTTCACTCTGTTGCTTTGACTTCCCTTGGGAAGATTTCACTTGGTCAGTGAGCTTTAACAACTCTCATTCATTATTTGTTCATTGATTGAGTGTTTGTTTGGTGTGAAGGTTCTACATGGGTTGCTTAGGCATAAATTAGCAAGCTTATTGATTTATTAGAAGTGTATGTAGGGTTGAGTAATCACAGGTTAAAAAGTGCTTTTTCAGAAGTAAATTAGCAAAAAGGCATACAAAAACAATCACTTTTTTTATGATTTGCAACAAGATGTTGTTTTGTTTGGAGTCCATACCAATTATTGATCTTAAATTTGGAGTGGAATCTTGCAGGGGTAATTGAATACTCTAACCAAAAAAATTTGGGTATGGTAATTTAATATTTTTAAAAGAGCTTATTGGGGAATTTAGTTGACATGACATAGCACTCTCCTGAATGGCAACCAAAGGACTAATAAGAGAAGCAAAAGAGCTTTTATCAATATATGGAATCGCATTTGATCAACAGAGCATTTTTCCTTTCTTATTTAGTAAAAGGAGATGTTGAGCAACTAAGTGTGTTATTCAAGATTTAGAATATAACTATGTCAGTTTAACTGGTTGGCCTGTAATTAATGATGTGCTTGTGCTTGATTGGATAAATATCAGGAGAAGAGAGTTGTGTGCACATATTCATCACATTGTGTGTGTTCACTAACGTGTTTTTAGCCTGATAATACAATGGCTCTATCATTAAAAGTTTGCAGGGGTTATGGTGGTTTTGGTGCACTTGGACATTCTGTCTATCATAGAGAGTTGTTTCCTAGATTGGTGGAAGGTTCTTGGAATGAAATATGGCACTTCGCAACAGTGGACACTATCGCTGCAATAACGAATCAGGTTGTTCTCTCTTAACTGACCCTGTTTTTTGTATGGAAATTTCTTTACATGTATATACTATGGGTTTGCATTTTAGATATAGGCTGCTTAACCTGGATAAATTTATATGAGTTTTGATTTGGACCTTCGGAAACAGCCCTCTTGAACTCATAATGTGGAAAACATATCAATCTAGTACTGCAGACACAATTGAATGGACATATTTCAAATGTCTGTAGGTTTATGTATTCTTGCATTTATGGGTTTCTAGTTGTTCTTTATGAAAGATGATTCATATTGCCTTCATATTTGTTAGAAAGAATAAAGAAAGAGGGCGGTCAAATATCAATCCATCTATATTGAATATAGGGGAACTTTACACTTGGGGTCGAGATGAAGGAGATGGAAGACTGGGCCTTGGTCCTGGTCCAGGCCCTAATGGGGAGGTGGACTTAGTATCCCTTCTAAGGTCAAAGCATTACCTGTATCTGTGGCTGCTGTTTCTTGTGTGGCTTTTTTACATGCTGACAGAGGAAGGAACTTTGGAATTGGGGAGGTAAAGATATCAACTCTTTGTCTTATTTTCTCTCCTTATCTCTACCCAATTGCAGTTTAGTTACTTTCATTTATTTGTTCGGAATAGTTTCACAATTCTGGAATCACTCTCTTAAGTTTTCAACTTTGATGAATTCCATTTATCTCTGCTTGTGTAACATTACAATGACATCATATTACACATTGTCAGTGTTCTGTCAGAAGTTCTAACTATGAGCTTGGAAGAGGTGATAAGGTTGGTGGTTGGAGACCCAAGCCAATTCCTAGCTTGAAGGTGTTCGTATCATTCAATAGCAAGTGGTGGCTATCACTCCCTTGCATTACTGGTAAAATATTTGCTTAAATTCATGATTGCCGGCAACTTATTAAATCCATTCCTCACTTGCACCCCCTCCTTCCTATTCTAGGCTGTATACTAATATTGGTTTTCTTTTTTTATGTATAATTTCAGATGAAGGCAAAGTTCTTTCTTGGGGAATGGTGGACATGGTCAGTTGGGTCATTCTTCCACCGAAAATCGAAAGTACCTTGGTGATCGAGGCTTTAGCTGATAAGCGTGTAGTCTACATCGCTTGTGGGGCTCATCCTCAGCAGCCATAACAGGTCCTTGAATTTCCATCACCCTTCAATCCTACAATCTTCCAAGTATCTATAGTTATCCGATCTCATAATAGCACAGAAATGAGGTTTGAGGATCTTTTAGTATTCTATCTTTTAGTATTCAACTAAGTTGAAAGATACTTAAATTTAATAAAATCAATATTTTGGATATCATTATAGAACAATAATTTTATATGCAATAAATAAATAAAACTCATGATTATATTTTTTTTACCATATTGTTTGATAATTTGCTATATATCCGATAAAGGGAAGTTTACATGTGGGGAAATGCCAAAGATTCTCAATTGGGAGTTCCTGGGTTGCCGAGGTACAACTTGTCTTGTTGAAGTCAAGTTTCTAAGGAGGATATGGATTGGGACCCCACAAGGTGTTATCTGTTGCAGTTGGTGCATCTCATGCATGTGTTTGGTTTCAAGGTCATGTTGTTAAAGATGGTCTACTAATCGAAGGTTTTCTCAACTCATATAGACACAACAAACAAGTATGTATGTTTAACAGCTCAAACAGAGGCTAGAACAGATGTGTAGTAATCTGAGGATAGATAAGTTCTTTAAGTTACTAAAATATTGCCAAAGCATTGGAGGTGAATTCAGGTTGCTGACTGTTAGTCAAAAGTGGAGCTTCACTTGACAATTGCTGACTCATAACTGCTTTTGTTTGAATCCCTTTAATGAATTAAATTATCTGGGAGACTAAGAATTTTGACATTAAAGCTCCTGTCACAAATGCAAGTTACCTTCTTAATTGTTCCCTCTCATTGTATGCATCATCTCATTACATATTAGTTTATTGACATTCCTTTTTGTTGAAAGTTTATGGCAAACATGACTACTTTTTCCTTTTATGTTGATCATATTGCTCATTGCTTTTATTTGAAGTCGGCATGAGAAAGATTTGCGAGAATTTTAATAAGAAAGCATGCAAATAATTATGTTTGCTCAGGTGCATTTGATGCCCTGCTACGAATCCTTGGTTTTGTTGTATGATCTTTGATGCTTTGGAACTGTGGACAATATTAAAAGTGATAAATTTAAATTTGGGTATATTTTGGAAAAACATAGATATCACAGATATCATGTCAGTCATGTCACAAGTCATGTATATATGTTGTCTGAGAATTTTTTTTTTTTTTTACCATCCATTTTTATAATCAATGGATCGGTGATTAAACTGATTATCTATGTAGTATGCATATATTGATTTGTGATATCATTAATGCGGTATCCCGTGGTAACATAAACTTTTTCGTTCTTGAAGAAGTTAAAGGGTAGAATTTGCCTTCAATGTTGGCAGATCTCATAGAGTTCCTTAGTAGACCCTCCTTCACTGCAAAAATCTAAAGTTTCCAGAGAAAAACTTGTGACTGATCATAGAGGGAGTTACAAACCTTATGTTAAAGAAGCTATATTTAAGAATGTTCTTTCAAACACAACTCAGCTCCACTTGTCGGGTTGGTGTTTGATATGTTTTGTTTCATCAATTGTAGAT